CCCCAAAACCCCAAAACCCCAAAACCCCAAAACCCCAAACTTTCTCTAAGTTATAGAAAATGCAATTAATTTTCTTTAATAATATTAAATGGAGGAAAATTTTAGCAGACAGATAAGAACTCCTTTATCACCCCAAACGAGGTTGGATTCTAACGAAATGACTCAGAACAACATGCCTGAAAATGCTGATGGAATTAGAAGTTTCTCTTTAAACAATCAGCAATTTAATTCCTCTCATAACCTTGAAGAAGCAAGTATGAATACTTTATTGGAGCAGAAATAAAAACATCAATAACAGGGTCTTTCAGGATATGATGACTCAGCATAATAAGCTGTATAAAGTCTGGAGAAGATTTGACCTACTATGTGCAATATTTTCTGTATTTGCCTTCATGCTTGCTTTGATTGAATATGAATATGGTTTTGATAAGAACCCTGACAAACGAGTCAAGCTTGATTATATCCAAGAAATACTCCGTTTTATGATCATCGGGTTCTCACTAATATCTTTCGCCCTTTTAGTAACTCGTTATTATTACAAAAGAAAATGGCAAAACCTGCCGATTCCAAAGGAAGTGCAATACCAAGTGTACAACAACGACTATACTAATCTGATGCGACAAAATAAGAGGAAGAACTTCATGTCGCTAACTTTGGTAATCGACTCTATAATCTGTTTGATATGCCCACTTCCCTTCGTGGAACACCTGATTGTTATAAATGAAAACGTTCATTTATTCAACAGGCCTCTTAGCATTAAGTACTTATTGTCAGATTTTATTTTAATGTTCATGTTTACAAGAATATATATCCTCGTTCGGAATATTTTCAATCACACAGAGTTCTCTGACCCTTATGCAAAGCTTCATTGTGAGAGGTATGGATTCACTGCCGGGACTAGGTTCTGATTCAAGTGATATTTATCTAAATATCCAGGAATGACTGTGATGGGTACCTTGACTCTTTCGGTGATGTACCTGAGCTATCTTATGAGAATCGCTGAAAGACCGGCTTGGATAATCGTAAGGAATTTTGATTTGTTTTCTGCTTTTCCTAAAATTAATTTTTGTATAGTATAGAGAATGGCCTGATGTAGGCCCAATTTATTGGATATACTTAGTGATCATCACAATGACAACGGTTGGATTTGGTGATTTCTATCCTCTGACTATTGTTGGGAAGATTATCACTGTTCTGACTGCTTTGTGGGGTGGCTTCATCATTGGTCTGCTTATTGTTTCAGTCACAGAAATTTTCAGCTTGTCCCCCACTCAGAAGGTTGCGTTTGATAAACTTGTGAAAGTGAAAAGAGCTGCCAAATGAATCATCGCTGCGATGAAATATCAGGTCGCTAAGAATAAAAACTCCAGAAAGTAAGTCATCTTTGGGTGTACACAAGCAGCTTGGCTTATCTAAACTTTCTTAATCTAGCAGACAAGAAGAGTCCTTAACCAGTAGTGGAATCACCAATAGATTAAATAAGAATTCGATAAGTTACGAAATGGGTGAGAAGAGGGTAATTTTAACATATTATTTTGATAGACAAAGAAGTATTTAATGAGAAAAATTCAGAGATTCAGAGATATTAATAATCGAAGATCTTCAAGAAGGAATGGCAACATTAACACCAAGGTAGTATAGTTCTTAAAAAGTAGATTGAAAATATTGAAAACAGAGTTGAAAACCTTGAAGAGCTAATGAGAAAGAGTTATAGTCTTCTCCATCGTATAGCACGGCAAAATAACTTAAACTTGTAAGTAGGATTCTCGCTGGTCTAAGCATGTTAAATAGGTCAAGAGGGGGATATAATCATAGTAATTATGGCTTCAGTGAAGCATCTCCTAGAGAACATGGCTCTAAAGCCCAGAGAAACTTTCTGAATCCTCAGCATTCAAAGTCTGGATCCTTAGATGTTGTTGAAGAAATTCCTGAAAATTTGAATCAGACTGCTCAAGAGGAAACGTAAGAATTAATATATATCCCAATTTCAGTTTTTAGGACTCTTTTTCTGCAATGATGTATATCTAATATAGGAAATCACTCAATCAGTAAAAATTTAAGTCAAATAGAGATAAATGATGTAAAAATTGCAAGTAATTATAACTAAAATTATCATTCAATCGTAATAATGAATGCTGGGGTTTTGGGGTTTTGGGGTTTTGGGGTTTTGGGG